TGTTAACCACAAGCCAGAATTGCTCCCTGCTCAGAAAGAAAACTATCTCGGAGAGGTGTTCATTATGGAACTTCATATTTTATATTTTGGCATTAGAAAAATTAAGCCAATATATGAAAGTTCTTAATTCATATGGTTCAAGAACCTCAAGCACCCGAAGAGGACAAAATGCTGCAGACCCCGAGCAAACCCTTTCAACCAGCTTGCTTTGCCACGCTTTGTCCATTACCCCCTTGTACCTTTTATTCCACCAGCACAACTGTCTCTTAGGCAAATATTTTTAATTCCCAATTCCCCAAAACATGCCCATTAATTCCCAGGAAAATAAGAATGTTTGCTCTCATTTAAAGCACCAAGTTAGAATCATTTTGGTACAAATTCAGGGGAAGGAGGAAAAAGCATTAGACATTTGGGTGCTGGTGGCAATATATGTACCCAATGTGACATAAACACCCTTATTTTTTCCCCTGGCATTCAACCATCACTAGCACAACATTTAAACTTTAATCTCTTCTGCTCTCCCTTCTAAAAAAAAAAAAAACACATTCTCTAGATTAATTGCCCTCTTTTAGTAACTAGAACTTGATAATTTCTTTTCCTTCATTCATCTTGATTACATTCGCATTTAGGTGTGAAAATTACAAACCACTTCAGCAAGGAACAAATTGTTCAGCGTTAACTACTGAATGCCTCTTCCAGTCTTTCTGACGTAGCAGCAAATATTGTAGATCCAAACACAACAGAGACTGACATAATAAGACCTCCTTGTCTCTTACACAGATGATTAAGAGAAACGGGGGACCCTCTCCTGCAAGTTGCATTGAACATTATTGTTCCCCAAAACCTAGAGTTTGAAGCTAGAGAGAGAAAATAACCTTTTGTCCCTTTGTAGATTTTATATACACAAGAAAAACAGAGCTGCTTATTACAAATGTTAACTCTTGAGTGTAAATAAATCCCTTGGGAGTCAGCAGTATAGGTAGTCCTCAACTTACAACAGTTTGTTTAGTGACCATTCAAAGTTACGACTTAAAAAAAAGTGACTTTTGACCATTGTTCATACTTAACGACCATTGTGGCAATCCCCATGGTCACGTGATCGAAATTAAGATGCTTGGCAACTGACTTGTATTTATGACGGTTGCAGTGTCCCAGGGTCATATGATCCCCTTTTGCGACCTCAATGGCGAAGCCAGATTCTCTTAACCACCATGGTGCTAATTTAACTGCAGTGATTCACTTAACAACTTCACTTCAGCAAAATGGGGCACAACTCACTTAACAAATGTTTCACTTAGCAACTGAGGATTACGTGTATAAGTAGCTAATAGAAAGAACAAATTCAGCTTCCTCGTAAAGCTGGTTTTTTTAACCGTTGGCTCCTAAATCTGTATAGTTTAAAAGCATGTCAGCATATACAGACTCAAAGGAAGGAATTGTCTGCGCTTGCTCTCCCCGTGACCCGTGACTTATTTTTTGAAATATAAAATGTGAATGGGGTGCAGCGTTAACTATTTTGCCAACATCAAAGAACAGATAATCCAGCACTGATAACTACTTTTACAGAAAAAAAACAAACCAGCAACTGTTTAATTTGCACTGGGATGAGAACAGGGATATAATTGGATTCCTACATGCAGCATCATATGTGGGGAATGTGCGCATAGTTAATCTCAGAGGAAGTATAGAAACAAGCGCAGAAAGCAAAGAATCAAAACTGATTTTGCTCGGCGAGTAGCGAATGAGCAATGAAGCCTATTACGCTGCTGTGCTCAAACTCAGTGGAATGAGGGCCCTCTGGTGTGGAGGTGCAGTGGGGAGATCAAATAGCTTGCCAATGCTATTGCTCAAACGAGACAAAACATAAGAAGGAATTCTAATCAGAGCCACAGAGAATGAGATGCTTTTACAAAGCGAGCGAACCTTTGGAAGTGAACACAGTTCCTGTATGCAGATTATTAAATAGGCCTTGTTTAAAACTTTGCTTGAGGTCCAGCAGGAATTCTCACTCAGAAAAACAAAAGATGAAGGAGAAACAATGAGTCAGTTGAATATTGTTATCTGGAATGATAAGAGCACTAAACTCCACAAGTCTTTTCACTCCTTTATTATTTCACTGTTTAGAAAAAAAATAATAATAATAAAGAAGCGGGAGGGACGTTTCCCCTTTCTCTCCTTTCTAAACCAATCAAGCACAATGCCCTTAAAGTAACTTAAGCACAATTCTTGAATTTTGTTTAAACAAGTGGCATATGATTCACCGGCTTGCGGGGGAAAAAAACACAACCATGTTTTGTAGAGAACTTACAGGGCATGCCCTGACACGGAATTAACAATTTCCCTTTTTCCAATTTTAGCAGATGTCTTCCTTGACAAAATGCCTCCTATCGCCACAGTCTAAATGAAAGCTAGTTTCACAGAACAAAAGCATAAAGTCGTTCTCAAAAGAGCTTATGAACAGCAAAAAATTGTTCATCTCTTTCCCTTCCTCCCAATTTGTTCATCTCTCCTCCCCCCCTCCCAATTATTCCAGCAGGTCCCGATGCACAAGTCAATAACCAGCTTTTCTTCAGTTTCTGCAGCCGGTTTCTACGTTGTCATTAAACAACAAAAAATAAACAGCTGCCCTGATGTATACAGAGGGAGTTTCTCAGGATGTCTTCTGAAAAAGAGAGAAGACCATTGCCAGCCGTCTCTGACAGGTGTAAATGTGATTTGATTCAGTAGCGCTTCCATCATTTTAAATTAGTGTCTTGAGATGTCAGGAAATGGTGATACAGGATTCTCCACCATTACTATTAATGGCGCTGAGACAGTGATCCAAATCGCTGCCATTGTTTAAACGTTATTCCAGCACACGTGACTGAGGAACCTCTTATGCTGCCAACCCCAACCCTCTGTGTATTTCTGATTTAAGAGAATAGCTTAAATCTCCTACTTGCAGCAAAGAGAATTCTTCCTATAACAAGAAGGCAATGTGAAGAATGGCTCTCCTTGCCGATAACCTGGAAATGTTTTAAACATCAAAGCATCATCTTCAAGCAGCAAAAACAAAAATAACAGCCTCGTGTTGAAAAGCTTTGCAAATTCTTTAAGGCAATGTCAGTTTTGACGTAAAAGACATGTATAAGGTGAATTTTGTGTCGACAGATGCTTCCTACTTGTGTAACAAAACAAAACAAAACCACACCCCTATAAAACCTTGACCTAAGTTCTCCACAACCGTGCAAATA